CCCACAGTATATATTATTTGTGTGTGCGTGTGTGGCGATAATACCGCATACCGCGCGCTATTGAGCCACTCAAAATTACCGCAAGGGAAATTCCCTCACCGCAACAGCCCTAGACATTACGTCCATGTTTTTATACAGTCTATGGTATATACACTACCGTTTAGAAATTTGGTTAATGTTTTACTGTTTTTGAAAGTCTCTTCTGCTCACTAAGCCTGCTTTTATTTTATCAAAAATACAGTAAAAACAGCAAAATTGTGAAATATTATTTTATTTTAAAATATAATTTTTTAAGTGAATGTGTTAAAATGTAATGTATTTCTGTGATCAAAGCTGTATTTTCAGCCTATATATATATATATATTTAAATAGAAGTCTATGCAACATTGTAAATGTTTTCAATGTCATGTTTCCTTCCTAAATAAATAATTAATTAATTTCTTTTTTTTATATTTTATCAAAAACATATATAGGTTTCCCTGATATTCATAAAAATATGTTACTAAAATATTTGTCATTTTATTATGTTGTAGGAGCATAAGATATTTGATAGGGCTGCCCTCGACTAAGGATTTTTCTTGTCGACTAGCAGTCGTTCATTTGAAGCATTAGTCGACTAATCGCACATTTATCAATAAACCATTTAAATCATCATAATGAGCCTTTAATTGCCTACAAAGCCTAATAAGCGCTCAAGTACATGCATAAAGCTGTGGCAGAAGTAATAATTATGAATGTGTGAGGGAAAAACAGTAAGGAGGCTGCATTAACATTTTAATAATGTATTGATAAACTAGTGCTTTCTTTGTTCTCGGTTTAAGAGATGAAGACGGCGACACCGACTCGTCATCTCCGCAGTAGTGATGCCCCTGTCTGCATGTTTCATACGGATTACATAATCTGAGAATATCTGTTTTCCATTTGAATTGGTTTATTTAAAAGTAGACATTTCACTCTCTATAGATATGTTTTTAATGTCTGTAAGGCAAGTATACACGGAGTTTCGCGCTCAAGTTCACAGAGACCGAGACGGCAGAAAGCGCTTCCTGTTTGCTTTCATTATTTTACAAAAGCGCAATGTTTTGTTGTTGTTGTGAGTGCACACAAATAAACGTAGTGTCTTTACAGATTCGAAAGATGTATTACTCTTATCTGTATGACCAGAAATGAGGGAGTATTGAGGGATTATATGAGTATATGAGGGAGTATCTAGGATAACATCAGATTGAGTGGCCATGTAAAGTTGCTAATACTTACATATTTCATAAGCCATGTTTGAGGCGAGCATTTGGATGTCCTGCGCAAGTACTGTATTACCACAAAGACCAGCCGTTAACGATCTGTCCATCTCGGACTGCGTGACTTCGCCTGTGGAAGTGTGGATATTTTATTTCTTCCTGCGACTAATACAATTTTGGTCGACCAAGCCTCTTCAGGGCTCGTAAAATCGCTAGCCCAACGTCCCGGGGCTATTGTGTTTTCCAGTCGGGCTACTAAAATGTTTCACCGCTCTGCCCGACGGGTTATCTTTAACAGTGATATAAAATTCCTTCCTTGATTTGCGTTGTTCACTATGCATGAAGATATTAGATATTATAAACATTAACATCATGATTTTATGTAAAGCCACTTTGAAACAATGTGAAAAGCGCTATACAAATGAATTTGATTTGACTTTAATCTCACCAGTCGTGTAGTTAATTGAAAGCTAGACAATCGTTGTGACCCATCCCTGCTGTCTATGATCAGTCAGAACCAAACATATTAAAACAGAGATGTTGTTAAAATATGACTCTCCCTCTCTTTCAGAGATGACTTCAATATTAAAGTATTGCAAGCTTTTGTTGATCTCCACGAATTCACGGATCTGAACTTGGTACAAGCACTTCGGTAAGTCAGCAGATTTTATATTTGCAACTTTTCTGGATGCTTCTTCATAAATATATATATATGGTTGTTGAATAGTATTCATACAGTTGTTGTGCAGTGCTTGTGTTCCTGATGTGTCCGTACGTTTATGTTTACTACAGGCAGTTTCTGTGGAGCTTCCGCTTGCCCGGCGAGGCTCAGAAGATTGACAGGATGATGGAGGCGTTTGCACAGAGATACTGTCACTGTAATCCTGGAGTCTTCCAGAGCACAGGTCGTACATGCATGCATAATTCCCATCGGTGTTACTTCACTGTTAGTCAGAAATGCACACTGCACAATATAGTCATAATTGAGTAGGTGTGTCTGGATTTGACTGCTTGTGTAATTCAGAGAACATTTCAGAACTTGTCGACCACAGACCTGTTGCTACTACAGTTCAGGAGTATTTTATTGATAGAGAGTTAGCCTAGAGTAGACGCACCTTGCCTCTCAGTCCTTAAACTCTGTGTTCTCCTCGCAGACACCTGTTACGTGCTGTCGTTTTCCATCATCATGTTGAACACCAGTCTGCACAACCCCAACGTGAGGGACAAGCCCACGGTGGAGCGCTTCATCAGCATGAACAGAGGCATCAACGACGGAGGAGATTTACCCGAGGAGCTGCTGAGAGTGAGTGTGCACCCGCATAAGAAAGTCAGCGTTGATGTCTCTTCTGAACTTTTCCCAAAAAATTTCCAATGTTAAAATAATGAAAACGAATGACTTCTGTAGTGCCCTATGATTTCTGTGATGTGGAAAACTTAGACGGAATCGTAGAGTCCAGTCATAAAAATAGAATTTACTGTAGAATGTCACTGAATTTGGCATATTTTGCATGAATAAATCAAAAGTAAGTCTATATGTTTAATCAAATCATGATATGGACTAGTGTCTGTGAATATTAAAGTGCAAAAAGTCTGCTATGACACTCTGTACTTCTCAAAGTAATAATAATAATAATAATACAAATTTTATTGTTAACTAAGAAGTAATTTTAACTGTAAACCATTGTTGGGTAAATTACTTTCAAAAAGTAATTAATTACTAATTACAACATCAATATTGTATTTAAATTACTTTTAATATAATTAAATATATAATTCTCAATAAGTAACTTAATTCTTTAAATCGTTGATTTTAGTTAAAATCCCTATAAACGTTAAAGCAGAGACAATAGAAATTAAACTCTTTATTCTTTCAAATCGAGTCAAGCGTGGAATAGTTTAGCATTTTAGTTTTAAAACAAATGTAATACTTAAACATTTGAACAAAAAATGTAACCTTCTTTGGTTAACAAATAGAATTACTCTGCAAAATATCTGAATAATAAAAACGCTCAAGAAAAGTTAAACATTACAGGTATCAAGCTGTAAGCATTACATTTTTCAAAGCAATGAGTACCATATTTCATGCACACTGACATACTGTACATGTATTGGCACTAATACTAATTTTGCCTACTCTTTACAAAAACCAACATTTTGTACTGTCATTCATGCACATATGCTTGTATTTTCATACAGTACATAAACAACATTCTGATATTGTGATATTTTGTAAACTAAATACTTATTGCTTAGCACATTATTAACATCGACATCTGATAGTGGATCAGTAAACACTGAACTAAATATGTATGTAGCATTCATCATGGTGCAGTGTAAACATTCCCATTACTTTTTATATCTATATCGTATTATAAATTATATTTTTATAATATGATAGCAAAAAAAAAAAAGCCTTGTTTCGTTCGATGTAGCCTAGTAAAAACGTCATAGGCTATAGTAGAATAAAAACCCCTATATAAATCTGAATGCATATCGTATTTCAACATATTGCACTCCCTTGCACACATTTCAGTTTGGCAAGATGTTTATGAAAAGCCCAACTAGTAAAATCCGTTTTACAGAAATGGCATCCTCCGCTGAATAAAGCCGTGTCAGATCGCGCTGTTCTTCTGAGGTAAATTCCAGCTTATTCCTAATAGCAGGTCTTCTTGCAAAAACGATGAAAAGTAGATGAATCTTATTATTATTATTATTATTATTTTAATCTATTTTTGTATCTAGGTGAGGAAGGTGTTTGCGAACAGGTGTGACTGCAGATAATGAGCTCAGAGACGGGAAAGACTGTTCCTTGCTTTAGATTTTATATGGATTACATAATCCGAGAATATTCGTTTTCGATTTGAATTGGTTCATTTAAAAGTAGACACCTCAAGCTTTCTATAGTCATATTTCTCATGGCTGTGTGTGTGTCAAGTATTCGCTGATTTTTGGTTCCTTTTTGTGACACGTTGCAGATAGAAGTTCATGGAGACAGGGACGGCAGAAAGCGCACACTGTTTGTTTTCTTTATTTTACAAAAGCACAATGTTTTGTTGTTATTGTCAGTGTAAACATATCAAAGTAGACCCTTTTTAGGTTCGATTGATTTTAGTCTTATCTGTATCGGAGTATATTAGGTTATTTTCTCTATCACAAAATCCTGCAAGTGAACACGCCGGCACGCAGAGGGTTAAAGGCACTGCATTCAATTTTGACGATAAATTTAGATTTCAAATTCAATATTGATTTTAGAACTGCTGAAATTATTTACAGTATGTAATGCAAGTACTTTAGAAGTAACTGTAATTAAATTACCTAAAAATAAACAGTAATCCCGTACTTTACTTTTTCAGTGGATAAGTAATTTAATTACAGTAACGCGTTACACCCAGCACTGCTGTAAACTGTTCAGCACTTTCTTTGCAAAAAATTATTTCAATTATTCATTTTCAAATATTAATTAAATAGGGTTTTTTATGCCTTCATTTGATTACCACCATTTTTGGTAATACATTTGTATTAAATCCAGAAAAATTAAAACATACAGCACAAATTTTCTAAAAAATTAAACTTTCCATAGGGTCCTGTTATTGTAAAAATGTTAGTACATTATTGCATTGTTAAAGTTTTATGAATTCAGTTTATTTCTTTGTTACAATTGTTGCAGTTTAATCAAACCTTTAAAACAGGACCAAAAAAAAGAGTTAAACTTAATAAATTGTTGTTCAGTTGTATAAGTTTCATGAGTTCAATGAATTTGACATGTTTTTTGATCACAAAAAATTACTAAAATATAATCCAGAAAAATTACAATGGGAAACAAATTGAAGAAAAATGAAATAAAATGTGGAATTAGAAAAAATTAAATAAAATGGAATTTGGGCATAAATACAGTTAAAATGGCCTTATTCAGGTCTCTGTGTTGCCCCAAATCACAGTCAGTGTGAAAGACTGTTTCAAGGTTTTTTTTGTTTTGTTTAGTTTTTTTAATAATAATAATATATATATTTTTTTTAGTAATCACTGTTATTGTTTTCTACAGAATCTGTATGACAGCATCAAGAATGAGCCCTTCAAGATCCCAGAGGATGATGGGAATGACCTGACGCACACTTTCTTCAACCCTGACAGAGAAGGCTGGCTCCTCAAACTGGGTGAGTCCTTCCTGATGTTCGCCAGGAGCGTTTCTGTTTAACCGAAGTTGTTGGCAGGGTCTCTATCATTGCTGTCGCATGATTTTCTGTTATTTCATTGCTGTGCTTTGCTCTGTTTTCCTAAATAAAAAAAAAACCCTAGCAAAACATCACTTCTAATGTGTTTGGCACTTTCAGAGATTTACATTCTTTCTGCATGGCGAGCTCTGTGATCTCTCAAGCACTAAAAGCTTTTGAATCTTCTTCCCTCTCCCCGTGTCTCTGTGTTTCTGTTTCCTGTGATCCGTCACGCGTTCCCTTTTTCCCATCTCTTCTGGCTCCTGCTCTGCTTGACCTGTGATTTCTCTGCTGATGCTGGTGCTGTCCACCCTTCAGGAGGTACGTACAGCCTGCTCTCCCTCACTAGAACATCTCATACATCTCATACTCACACTTACGCCGACTGATAATGTATTTATGTTGTGCCAGATAGTGCCAGACTCATGCAGAAATCAAAACAAATGAGAGCAACAACACTCACAGAAACTTATTAGTTATGCATACTGCGGTAGTAAAAATAAATTTGTAATATATGATTTAGGTACGCAACGTTGCACGATGAAAATGTTTCAAGACGATTGCAGTGTGATTAGTAGTTCAATAAACAAGAAGTTAAAATTAAGTGACTTACATTTTAGACACAATATTGACTGTTTTTGCTCAATTTCGCTGACGAAAATAATTCCAATCAAAGCCACAGCAGAACTGTTTTGTGTCTCTGAGCAACACAGTGGTGTTTCGTTACTGAATGAATCCACGTTTTTGAATGAATTGAGTGAGTCAATGATTCAGTGGCAAGTCAATTGCCTCGTTTCTGAATGAATTAGCCATTTGAACGAATCTGTTGAATGAAGGACTAAATGACTCACTCATTAAAACAGTCATTTGCCGCCACCTACTGGTTTGGTTTCATATTTAAAACTATCATTGCATTTTTCCCAACATTTCTTATTTGTATGTTTAAAAAATATTTAAAACATTAATCTTATAAAATTCCTAATGCATTCGAAATTTTGTGGTGTAAATGCATTCATGGCACCTCAGCTTCATCAAACAGTCTGTGTAAATACATCTAATGCCACTTCAGATGCAGCTTCTGGAAAGGGTTTGTTGATACTGATTTAATTTGAATGGTAACGGCTCTACAGTTTCTTATTATTCTAACTGAATTAATTGAAACACTGTAAGAATTTGATGTGAAAGATGACACATTTAATAAGGTTAGTGGAAAAATTACAATTTAAGAAACATAGTGAGAAATGACATCTATATTGTTATATACAGCAACTCATTTTGAGTTAATTTGAGTTAATAAAAATTTGCATTAAAAAAAGTATAGATTTATGTTTGTACATGCTGTCAATTATAGTTTTTAGAAAGAAAAACGGAAATCTGTAAAAATCGGTATCGGCAGGTCATACAAAAAAAATCGGAAATCGGAATCGGCCAAGAAAATTGCAATCGGTGCATCTCTAATTAGTGATGTTTGGAAAGCATCATTATTATAGCATTTATGCTCCAGACATAAGTACTAAGTAGTATTCAAGGCTTTGTTACATCGTAACAGTTTGGAAATTGCACAAGTTTCACAATCTCTGTGAACACATGAACCAGTGTCCATGCAGTTTGTGGACCTTTTAATGACACATTTGTTTAATAAAAAGGACAATTTTGTTATTGTTATTTTCATATTGGCCTGATTGATGAAGCTCTCCATAAAACAACATTATAAGTGCCACAAATGAATAAGATAAAACATATTAAACAGACACTTCACTCGTTAACTGCATTTAGTGCATTACGTTTTCAATAATATATCATCTGCAATTGGTTTATAAAAGATGTTTTAATGCACGAGTTTTGGTTACATTTACACTGTTCTGACAAATAAAAGCATGTGCTTTAAAATGGTGAATCATTTTGCAAAGCAATTGATTCAGTCGAGCCGAAGTTTTAAAAAAGACTTCCCATCACTGGTGATGAGATGCACCATTTTCAGAAGAAATTTAGTTTGGTTCTTTAAGGCAGGATACTCTACTAATAATGTAGCGTGTGTAGACGTGTCTTCCTGTATCTGTGTAGTTTAGCAGGCTGACACAGAGGAAATGATTAATTTCTTGTGTGTTTTACACCTCTAATCCGTGTAATCTTCTTTCTCAGGAGGTCGTGTGAAGACATGGAAGAGACGGTGGTTCATTCTGACTGACAACTGCCTCTATTACTTTGAGTACACAACAGTAAGTCAAGAACTCAAAAACTGCCTAAAAGGACTGATTGACCCATAATGGCTTGTGCTGACTGTGTGTGTGTGTCTGTGTGTCTCTGTGTGTGTGTGTGTGTGTGTGTGTGTGCGCGCGTGCGCGCGCGCGTGTGTGTGTGTGTGTGTGTGTGTGTGTGTGTGTGTGTGTGTAGGATAAGGAGCCCAGAGGCATTATACCATTGGAGAACCTGAGCATTCGAGAGGTCGAAGATCCCAGAAAGCCAGTAAGTCTGTTGACATTCTCATTACACAGTCAAATACAGCTAATTAAATAAAACATTTCCATGACACTTTTCATAGATCAACTGCAGGTTTCTTTATTGACCATTAGGGCTGGGCCGTATTTCAGAGACAGATTGTGGGCTCTGCTTGCTGATGGTGATGTGTTTTCTGTGCAGAACTGTTTTGAGCTCTACATCCCTAATAACCGCGGGCAGCTGATTAAAGCGTGTAAGACGGAGGCCGACGGTCGAGTGGTGGAGGGAAACCACATGGTGTACCGGATCTCAGCTCCCACTTCGGAGGAGAAGGACGAATGGATCCACACCATCAAGTGAGTAAACCATCAGCACTGAAGGGATTCGTGAAGATCTCAGAGGACACTAGGGCTGTCAAAAAGATTTTTGAATTTCGAATATTCAAAAACGTTGCATTCGAATTTTAGGTGTGCGTCAGGCAGCATTATCAGTGGTGCACAAGATGCGATGACGATGTAAGTGTCGTTGCATTATAATGTTAGCCTGTCCAGTTGAAGCCACTAGATGCACCGCAGCTGCGTTAATTACAAATATTGCGGGAAAAGAGAACAATCAATGCGGAGAAGATGTTGTTTACGTCAAAACTGAAACCAAGTCGTTCACAGAACGCATATTTTGCGCACTTTCTAGAGGGACATCTATCACCTTTGCACTAGCATCTCGCACAAAAGAGCCGCATGTTTAGAAAGCCATGTAAAATTAATGCAAGTTCAACTTTGAAAAAACATATCTCGAGACTTTATGGCGGGTTTTTCCCCATCCCACTGCATCTCATGTTTTTAAATGAAAAATGTACTCTGTGTGATTGGCTTTCGGTCCTTTGTATTAAACTATGCATACATACATGATGCTGTTTTGTTTATAGTTGTTTAAGCAACTTAATTATAATTGGTTTATAAACATTATTTTAAACATTATGCACTTTTTTTTTTTCACAGATAGTCATGTTATCGTATGCTTTGAAGAAATGTGCATTAGTAATATTTTGCTTGATGCGCCCTCTTGTGGCCTCAGGAGAGAAGCCAAAAGCTTTTCTTCACCCTAACTGAAATTATGCATTTTAAATTCGAATATAATTCGAATTTTGATAATATTTAAGTACAAAATTCGAATGTAGTTTTTCAGCCATTTTGACAGCCCTAGAGGACACGGCATGTGAAAGAGTTAAGGACTATTAACAACAAGGGGCGCTAATGGAAACATTTGCACCAGTTATTTAACCTGACTTCAGTCCAAACTTTTATCAGCCTCTGACAAATGTTTGCATAACTGAAGTATATTTGCATTTCCTGATAGGAATAGCATTATATATGCTAGTGTACTTCTTAGGGTAGAAAAATGAGTTTAGCAGATATACACTTTTGAAATGTAGATTTTGACCTCACAAGCCTTCCAATATGTCCCTCACCAGCAGAATATTAAAAGTTTGAAATTTGGTGCAGATGCTGATATTTTATTGGACAAAAAGTAAGATGAAATTCTGATGCTATAACAGCATAGCAGATACTTACATAAAATGATTTAAATAGCAGTTGTCACACTATATCTCCAATAATGTCCTAATAAGATGATATTTAAATGAACATATCATGCAATGCAAGACAATGATGATTGAGAGATGAACAAACAAACGTTCCTCATCCTGATGATCAGATTTGAGACACACTAATTTTTCTAAAAATGATTGATGGAGAATCAAGTAAAGCTGAGCTGCTTTAGTCCAGTGAGTGCTCATCTGGAAATATTACTAAAGTTATACTTGATAAAAATCAGTCAAGATTTCACAGCGAAAATGCACGTGAAGCACCAGCTGAAGCAATTGCACCAATTACTCTAAAAGAGCTTTTACTTGATAAAAAAAAAAACTCTAAACAAGACATGGAGTAGATTGTGTGCGACAGCAAAGTTTTGATCATGCAGATCATTTAGAGGAATTAGAAGTGTGCATATGAATTATGATACAGTAGACACAACAGGTTTAAGTATGGCACATGAGATGATCTTGTGTTTTCTTTCAGATCCGCTGTGAGTGTGGACCCCTTCTACGAGATGCTTGCAGCCAGGAAGAAACGCATTTCCCTAAAGAAGAAAGAAGAGCAGCCCTGAAAGTCCTCCATTGCTCCTCAATCCATCCATCCATACGCTCCCTCCGTTCTCTGGGAAACCAATGATCCTTCATTGTGGTAGATCTCGTCCTCTCGTCAGATCAATCTGTTATTCCAGTTTTATGGAGAGACGGATGTCGTTGGGAAACCAGAACGTCATCATCTTCGGTTTGGATTTCAGTGGTCTGGTCTGCATCGTTTATTTCCACACTTCTCCTACACTTGCACACTACACAGTGTTATTCACTATCGCACTAGTCTGTACAGATGCTCACTGTATTATGCTGACATTCCATAGGACTTCACTGACAAACGTAACATTCATAAACCTGCATAAATCTCCATCCTCATCTCACACTCCCTCCGCTCTCACAGTTCCTGCTATTGACAGCATTTTACTATGAAGTTCTTACACGAACAGAGTAGACGACCAAACAGCCTGATGCATTCGTCATCATCACCATCATCATCATCTTCATCAGGGACGGATCTAACCGAACCTTTAGCAGAGACGAGTGGGACGTTTCGTTAGTTCGGTCACTGTTGGTTTACTGAGTCTATTCTGCTGCCTGTCTTAACGTTATTTTATCTGACACTATTTATCTCGGACTCGTTTGAGTTTATTTACATGTTATAAATGAAGATGAAGGTCATTGCTATTCACGCCACATTTCGAGCGTTACTGAGTTACTGAGCGCGTCACTTCAGTTTACCTATTAGTTACATATCACTTCAGCACATCTATGAAACAGGATATGCGTTTTACACTGATGTTGGTATCGGCCGCATGATAATCCCACCGGTGATGTCATTTCCTGTGCACAACTGCGTTGAACTTCACATCTGTAGAAACGCACTTCATTATTTGTGAATCCTTGAATAAGCTCCTTCACCTTAAGAAAAGAGCCTTAAATGTCCCACAGCCCTGTTTCTGAATGTTCTTACACTAGTGTTTCAACTAAACTTACTAGGTTTAAACTCAACCACAGGGGCTGCAAAACTGTTCTTGGGGGGAATCTCACGAAAACATGTCCAGATTATAACAGATTTTGTGTAATATAAAAAATGTATTTATTTATTATTATTATTATTATTATTTGGCATTATTTCCATAACTAAGCACATTTCCTCCTAGGTGCATACAGGCGTTTGGTGGAATGAAATCTAATTTCTTATTTCTCTGAAATTTGGAACGAAATTTGACTCATGATCTTGACAGATTTGGTGAGATTCGCTCTCTTACTCTTTCCTACTACAAGCAAAAAAATATTTAATTAAAGGACTGATTATGGTAATTTGCTGAAAATGTACTCGCCCACAGTCCATTCAAGATGTTTCTTCATCAGATTTGGAGAAATGTAGCATTGCATCAGTGTCTTAGCAATGGATGCTCTGCAGTGAATGGGTGCCGTCAGAATGAGAGTCCAAACAGCTGATAAAAACATCACAGTAATTCAGAAATGCCTTAAAGATGGATTTGTTTAACTTCAAACTGTTGAAAATATGAGTCCATAATGCATGATAACGCTTCCTCCAATCAGTCATCTGATCTGAATCAGGAGAGAAATCTGCACAGATCAAGCCCCGTTTAAAAGCCAAAACAGCTCTAAACAAATATGTGGCAGGATTTTGATGTGGACTTTTTCACTGCAGGAAGCGTTATTATGGATTATGGACTCGTATTGTAGTTAAAAATATCTTAATGCTGGATTTGTTTCAGCTTTTGTCTTCTCCAGATGTTAACTGATGGACTGGAGTGCTGTGGATTATTGTGATGTTTTTATCAGCTGTTTGGACTCTCGTTCTGACGGCACCCATTCACTGCAGAGCAAGTGATGCAATGCTGCATATCTCCGAATCTGTTCCCATCAAGCCCGAGAGTAAGTGCATTTTCAGCAAATTTTCATTTTTGGGTGAGCTATTCCAATTTGAAGTCCTATCTTTCAGAACGTGTGTTTGCTATGGCAGAGAAAGACGCGTCTGCTGCTTTATCCCCATGAAAAATATGTTTTTCTCTTATCCCCGATCCTAAGATGTGTGCGATGACCTGTATTGTCACTCCTCTTACTCAGTGCTGTTCAGTTTGAAGGAGTCCATGGCAGCTTTTTCCAATGTACATGATATTTTGCCTTTTCTGTCTGTAAATACATGTTGTTAGGTTTGTTTACAATACAAATTTATAGCATTTTTTATTTATTGTTTTTCAGTTCTTTCTATGTGAGAACTAAGGTTGGGGGTTGCATGTTGTACTGAACTGTAAAGGTGAATCTGACGCCAGTGTTTCGGGCGAATATTAGCGTTCTGTATTTCTAAACTCACTGCTGGTCAAAGAATTGGCATTGCTGTTAAAATAGGCTACAGATCACAATCGGAAATGAAATAATCCATAAAGATCTTTAAAACGACTGATCATACAGAACACTAATAGCGTAAATGTGCATCTAACATAATAACCGCTCTATTTAAATATACTAATTATGAAACGGTTCATACTGAGAGTTGTTTAGCAGTGCATTTTGCTTGACTTTTGTGATTTTTCCCGATTAATATAAAGCTTGGCTGTAGTAATTGAGACATAGTTTGGAGTTAGAATCCATGTTTATATGGCACTTTACTAGAGTTCAGCACAGTTTCGACTAAACCACTGCTTGTTTCACTCTCTACGAGTAACTAGTACTGCAGTTCTTAACCGGTTTAAGCTTTGCTGCACATGTATAGGATGCCAGTATAAAGCATCCGAACCGAATCGTTTGAAGTGAATCTGCTTCACGTTGTATTGTGTGCAAAGCCACAGGCCGTCTGTATGTGACTGAGAGACTCCAAGTGTTAAATAGCATACATTCCTTGATATATAAGCTATGCGTTTAAACTCATATTCTGGGCATGACGTGGTCTCATGAAGACACTAGAATGACTTGAATATGTTTTGGAGACTCTGGAGAAATCTGGGCATTCTTGATGAGAAGTGCAAAGGTGCCAAAGCCTTTCAGCTAGTCTGTGAATACAGTAGGACAAGTGAAAGCATTTCCTCTTCCTCCTCTTTGTTTTCTCTCCCGGCTTCTGATTGGCCGCAGAATGGTACAGATTGTTGGAAAATTCATGTAGCAAAAGGAAAACTCAGTTATGGTACACTGGTGCCAATCAACTCTAATAAACAAAATGGATAAAAACATTCACGTTGTGTGTACTTTATTGATTGCTGCTTCCCAAACATGGGGTACTTAGAAATATTTGTTTTATTAAACATACAAAATAGAAACTATGAGTATTCAACCTCCTATTTCATAAGAAAGCATGGTTTCACTTTATTTTGATGGTCCCTTTAACACATTCTGTTGTTTGTAAGTAATGCTGCACCTCTTACTAGAGTATTAGTAGAGTATTAGTGGACTGGTAGGGTTAAGGTTAGAATAAGTTGACATGTACTCGCATTAGAAAGTCTGTTGGGAGACTATCACAATAAAGAGTTAGCAGATATTAAGCAAACAGTCTATTAATATTCTAATCGGAGTTAGTTGACATGTAAGTGCAACGTTATTAATAACAGAATGTTCAAAAGGGAGCATCAGAATAAAGTGGTACCGAAACTTTTTTATGAAGTTGCAATTTTGTACTCATTTGTACAGTGTATAGGAAAACGCAATTTTTTTCAATGATATATTAATATTTTGAATTAATGTTTATTTAATTTTCACTTCATTTTCAGTGAAAGTTTTCAATTTTCTTTTTTTTTTTGTCTCTTTTTTTAATGTTTACATAGTTCTTATTAATTTTATTTATATTATTTGCTTTTGTTTGTTTGTTTATTTAAGGTTTAGTTGTAGTACTAAGGTTTCCTTGGCAAGAATATTATTTGTTATTTATTATTTGTCTTGTTAAACCTACAAAATAGAAACTATGAATATATATCTCATTAAAAAACACTTTTATGACGTTGCAATTCTGTACTAATTTGTACAGTGTATAGGAAAACGTGATTTTTTTTTCAATATATTATATTTTTGTTAACATTTTGAATTAGATTTTTGTTTTTTTTTCGTTTTCACTTCAGTTGAAGTTTTAAATTGTTTGTCTTTTTTAAGTTTTTTTTTTGTTTGTTATTTTTTTGTCTTTTTTAATGTTTACATAGTTCTTATTCATTTTCTTTATATTATTTGCTTTTGTTTGTTTGTTTATTTAAGGTTTAGTTGTAGTACTAAGGTTTCCTTGGCAAGAATATTATTTGTTATTTATTATTTGTCTTGTTAAACCTACAAAATAGAAACTATGAATATATATCTCATTAAAAAACACTTTTATGACGTTGCAATTCTGTACTAATTTGTATAGTGTATAGGAAAACGTGATTTTTTTTTTCAATATATTATATTTTTGTTAACATTTTGAATTAGATTTTTGTTTTTTTTTTCGTTTTCACTTCAGTTGAAGTTTTAAATTGTTTGTCTTTTTTAAGTTTTTTTTTGTTTGTTATTTTTTGTCTTTTTTAATGTTTACATAGTTCTTATTCATTTTCTTTATATTATTTGCTTGTGTTTGTTTGTTTATTTAAAGTTTAGTTGTAGTGCTTTAAGTTAAACTAGACCAAGATGTGAAATGTTTCCTTGGCAAGAATATTATTTATTTATCATGTGTCTTGTTAAACCTACAAAATAGAAACTATGAATATTCAACCTTTATCTCATGAGAAACCACTTTTATGACATTGCAATTCTGTACTAATTTGTACAGAATTTTTTTTATTTATTTATTTTTTTACTTTTATTTGTTTAAGGTTTAGTTTTAGTACTTCAAGTTAAACTATACCAATATGTGAAACATTTCCTTGTTTTTTTTTTTTTTTTTTTTTCAGTTAACATTTATTTAAAATGCTGTTTTTTATGGTTTTAGTGAGCAGGTCATACAAATGCATACTTCAATTTGCCACCAAATTATTTTTTGTCATGTGGCTGTGTTGCAATATTAGAGCTGTTGATAGGTCAAAGTATTTGCATACGTTTTGTAAATAACGTTATTGTTATCGTACACTAAAACTATGTGTACGATGTCATTTTGTGTGGATGACACTTGTAGAGAGTTGGATATAAAGATGTGATGAGGATCACGGCAGATGATCTTGCAGTTGCAAGCAGTGCTTATGTTAGCTTTAGATAATGTTAATGTAATGTCTTAATATCAGGTAAGTGTGTTGCTGTGATGTCATGTTTTTCATCCTGCTTCGCTTTAGCTTGTTAGCTCATTTCCTGACGATTAGCACTGCCTAATCTTGTTATTCTGTGCCTCAGCAGACCGCAGACACTCGGACCAGAGGCTTCCCAGAATGCCACAGTAAACGCAAACGCATGCATTTCAGCTCAGAACATCAAGTTCACTTCCAGACAAAAGGGTTGACGAAATCTGTTGCCAGCATCTCATGTTAAGTCAATATATTTTTATACATGAATATATTTTTGACTTTACTTCTGGAACCCTATTGTCATATGTGTATTTGAGAAGCTTTACAGAAAACAGTGCATACATATCACCAGTGAAAAGAAAAGAGCGTCTGTATTTTCTGCAGGTCTGCTTAAATAGCTTAGTTTCTAATAACAGCAGTGAAGACTAGGTCAATACTGCAGAAGAGCCTGAAGAATTCATGCTATGAAAATCATTTACAATATTATGCAAAAAGTTTTTAGAATTAGTCAGAAACCATGAAATTGCTATAGAAGTTGTTTTCAAAATTCAGTCCCTTTATTGCATTTCTGCATTTTAAACAAATGAAAACATGTTGATAAACAAACAGCAAATGCATAATAAATTCCAATGCACAAACATTAGTGGAAAATTATATTCTTTTCAAACACTGACAGTAAATTAAACGCAGTAGATTAAACTAAATCGAATTACGACACAAGCTGAAACTCAACACGTATCTAAAGTATCACAGAATAGCTGCTTATTTAGCTCCACTTTTGAGTCGGCTAAACATTTTAACATCTGGACCGTACAGTCAAACCTAAGAAATGCTTGTTTAATTAGAAGAAACAAAAACTACAAACACAACAGCCTGATCAGCGGTGTGCGACTCTTCTCTTTGGCTTCGCTGTATCTTTAGATTCTTTTACAGTCCAAGAAAATCTATCTTTTAACTTCAACTCACTGCTCAAATAGAGCCTCGAGAGCCTTCTGTTTCTATTTTTTACACCTACATTTGTAGCACTTCTGTCTTCACATCCTATTTATGATCTATGGTTTTCTATCCAAGTTTGGACAATATGTCAGATATACTTGCATCAGACATTGAATGGCACTGAAGAGCCATTTGTTGAATAA